CTTATTTTACAAAACCATTCTTTCTTTAGTGGTAGATTATAAGTTTCTTTTTACTTTTGTAATAGATTCTTGACAATATGGATTATGTTGATAGTGTAAAGAATTTCTAAGTGTGGCTATGATACAGGAAATAATACTGGAGATGAAATATGAAATATTAATCTCCCAGCCTGTTAGAGACACTGAGCTCGTGTTCTCTAAAAATCAAAGAATGAATTCGAGGATCAGTGGAGGTTAAGAGTAGGAAATATTTATTGAGAGGAAATCTCATGAGAGGCAGGAGGGGTCCCGAGTGGGTAGCTGGGGACCCCACGTTACAGAGGAGTTTTATAGAGCAAAATCTACGTGGGTACAACGTGGGCTACAGCCATGATCAACCAGTGACGTTCCAAGTATAGTCATTTAGGTAACAGTGACCCAATTGGGAAACAAGTCACGGAACAAGTGTGTTCTTTGTTTTAATAGTGTTTGTCCTTTGAGGAAGTATACAGGTCTGGCCAACGTGTTTTTATCTTGAGGCCTGGTCTCCAACAGATGTGTCTCCGGCCGCAGTTGTAATGTGTTTCACCTCTCCTGACTCTTGAGGATCTAGCCCTATCTGACTGCCTGTACTATTTCTACCTACTTAGCTGTCTGTAATAGCTAGACCTAAGAATTAAACTGACATAAGTTAGTTTAACAAGAGAAAAACATACACGTTTTGATTTTTTTTTAATTTGTATGTTGGAGTCTCCCTAAGAAAAATGGAGACCTAAAGAAATTGTTATACTTGAATTCTTGTATACTAAATAGACAAAAAATAATACATTATAAAAACGTGACAAGGGAAATTGACTTTCCCTCAGTTACTGAGGGAAAACTGGAAAGATAGGAGTTAGTTTAACAAGGTCTGTACCAATTTTTCCCAGCTGCCATGACCCATCAGTGGTCATGAGAAAGTTACTTTCCTTCTGATATAGGGAGGACGTCTTCTAGAGCAGTGATCCCCAAACTTTTTGGCACTATAAACTGATCTTGTGGAAGACAATTCTAACATGGGTAGGAGGGGAGCAGTAGTTTGGGGATTTGATTCTTGGATAAGATTCACAACCTAGACACTCCTGTGTGCAGTTCACAGCAGGGTCCTCGGTGGTGATAGTGGATATCCTTGCCTTGTTCCTGATTTTAGAGTAAAAACTTTCAGTTTTTGACCATTTAATATGACGTTGGCTCTTGGTTTGTCATAGGTGGCTTTTATCAGATTGAGACAAAGACCATCTATTCCTGTTTTCTGTACGGATTTATCACGAATAGGTGTTGGACTTTGTCAAATGCTTTTTCTGATCTTTTGAGACAATCACATGAATTTTGTCCTTGGCTCTATTAATATAGTGTATTACATTTATTGATTTGCTTATGTTGAACCATCTCTGTATCCCTGGGATGAATCCTACTTGTTCATGGTGTATAATCTTGATAATTTGTTGCATTCTGCTTGCCAGTATCTTATTGAAGATTTTTGCATCTATATTCACTGGGGAGATTGGCCTATAGTTCACTTTTTTGGTTGGATCCTTTTCTTTTGGTATCAGGGTAATACTTGCTTCCAGGAATGATTTTCAGAGTATTGCTTCCCTTTCAGTTTCATTAAAGAATTTGAGGAGTAGTGGCATTAGATCTCTAAATTTCTTGTAGAATTCAGCAGTGAATCCATCAGGACCTTGGCTTTTCTTTGTTAGTGGGTTTTTAATTACATCTTCAATTTAATTGACTGATATTGGGGTAATTAGAATTTTTATATCTTCTTGATCCAGCTTTGGTAATTACATATATATCTAGGATCTGTCCATTTCTTCTGTTTTCCATCTTATTAGAATACAGGTTCTCAAAATAAGTATTGATGATCCTGTGGATTTCTGCATGATCTGTTGAGATTTCAACCTTTTCATTCCTAGTTGCATGGATTTGAATCATTTCTTTCTATTTTTTATAAGGTTGGCTAAGGGTTTGTCAATTTTATTTAATCGTTCAAAGAACCAACTCTTCAATTCATTAACTGTTTGTATTGTTTTCTTAGTCTCAATTGCATTAATTTCTTCTCTGATCTTCATAATTTCCTCTGTCATACATGCTTTGTGCTTGACTTGCTCTTCTTTTTATAGAAATGTGAGGTTCAACATTTTGAGACCATAGTGCAATGAAATTGGAAATCAGTGGCAAAAGAAACCGCAAAAACTTCATAAACACGTAGGAATTAAATAATACCCTCCTGAACAACCAATGGGTCACAGATGAAGTTAAACAAGAAATTAAGACAGTTTCTAAAATTAAATGATAGTGACAGTACAGCATATCAGAACTTATTGGACACAATGAAAGCAGTCTTTCAAGGGAAATTTATAGCGGTGAACCTCTCATATCTGGATTCCCTCTCTTGCTGAATTAGATGCTTCTTCTTTGTTTCTAAAATACCTGTGTCCCCAGGTCCCACTTTATCAACATCATTAAATTGTTTCTCCACCAGTATCTGACCTCCAGGATGGTATATTAATTATTTTCTGTATGTATTTCACAAATTTACCAAACACAGCACAAGTAGTTCCGTACATATGGTTGTGAACATAACATATGTTCTGTTCTTTACCGTAGAAACTCCAGCCACGGGCTATTGGTGTGGCTTTGTGGTTTAGCACTTGCCTAGAATGTGCATGGCTCTGGGTTCCAGCCCCGTCAGCAGGAAAGAAGTGGGAGAGGTTTGGAGAAAAAAAAGTTTAAATCCCTATTCAGTATTTTACTCCTTTTTTATTGTTATTCCATCCCACGTATCATTAGTTATATGGTAACTACACAAAATTTCTATGCACTTTGGAGAACAAGTACATGATGGTAGGAAAGTGTTAAAAGATGGGACTTGGGAAAAGGCTGTAGCTCTGTACTAGAATGTGTGCTTAGTGTGCACAAGGACGGTGGTTTACAATAGTTTTAGCTCCAAAAATTACAAAGAACATACGTATATTCTTCTTTTCAATATTCTAGTTAGAAGTTATGAAATTATTCCTAATGTTTAAAGTTTTGTGGGTTTTTGTGTGTTATTTTCTTGTCTTAATGCTTTTATATTGTTCTGAACAGGATTTTTTTCCCCCTTAAAATTAACAAATGCAGGCTGGGGGTGTAATTCACAGGTAGAGCATTGCTTAGCATGCATGAAGCCCTGACTTTGATGCTCTGCACCACACAAAGAAAAAAAAATTAATATGCCACACTTAGATAAGCCCCTTCCTTCCTGGTGGTCATTGCACTAACCCTTTCCCTACTGTATCTCGAACACAAAATGTAGTGTGCCATTTCTCATTCAGATTTTCTTATGTTGAAAGAGAATTAAGTGAATTAACTGCTCCACCTGTAGCTTATTGTATTTTTTCTTCCCTTTAATAAATTAATAACTGGCTCAGCAGTGATGAAATGTAGGCCAGCGAGCATCTGGCCTCTATCAGCTGGCTGAGTTTATAAAACAGACAAGATAACTGAAAACCAGGGTAACCAGTGGGAGAAAATGGGGCATGTAATCAGAAAGAGACATGATTCCTCACCCTTCTTTCAAAACGAGGAGAAAGGTTTGTAGAAAATAGGAGGTGATTCTATTTGATCTGTTAAAACCAGTTATAAAAAAATAGTAATTAGGGCTGGGTATTTAGCTCAGTGGTTCCACTGCCTCCCTTGCAAGCACAAGGACCCGAGTTCGATCCCCAGTACCAAAAAAAAAAAAATGTAATTATAGGGCTAGGGATTTAGCTCAGTGGTTTCACTGCTTGCTGAGCAAGCGCAAGGACCTGAGTTTCATCCCCAGTACCAAAAAAAACCAAAACAAAACAGTAATTATAGCTGGCACCCACCTGTAATTCCAGCATTTGGGAGGCTGAGGCAGGAAGATTTCGAGTTTGAGGCCAGCATTCACTACACAGCAAGACCATGTGTCCCCCAAAAAAGATTATGTACATTATGAACTTTTACTCTGAATGTTAATCTTAGAGAAAAGTGATGTGAAGGAATTCCTATACTAATTATGCACTTATGGCATATATTTTCTCATCTGTAGTCCGTATGGGAATTTCTGTAGATTTGGTATTTCATCAAGTGATCTGTTCCTATTATGAATTGAGTGAAGAACTTACTAATAAACGAATGGTAGAGCAATGCAAGAAAACTATATAATGCAGCAGACAACGGATTTCTTTATCCCTCTACCCTCTTTTGCTGGATTTATGAGGAGGGGCTATTGTCTGGGTACCGGGCCCAGAACAAGATTAGCCTTTTTACCCCAGCCCACCCACTCAACCTACCTAAACCTTCACAGACTTAGGAAGTAAATAGTGGTGTGCACCACAGACTCTGGACTATGAGGGATAAAATTTGATCTAGATTCAGATGAGGTAAAGTACTTTTGTTAAATGGCAAGGTGCTGAATCAGTGCCACATTGTATTACTGTATTACTGTTGTCTGTTGCTGGTCTGTTGGATTTTATGTTGTTTAACTTAGTAACCCCAGAGTCTGGTGTATCTGTTATCACTTTGTTAGAAAACCTGTATTTTGGCAAGCTATGTATTTCTAGGATTTAGTTTCAAATGTAGCACCTTTTCCCTCTTGAGACAAATAGCTGTCATGGTATCTCTAATAGACTTGGAATGCTATAGCCTTATATAGATTTCTAGGTGTTAATCAATGCCATGTTAAAGATGAACTAAGACAAAAAGAATGACTTGTGTTTGGGGATAGAATTTTCATGAGATATGAAACGGACTAAAACAAAGAGAATAACTTATGTTTGGGGATTGAATTTTCATGAGATATGGACCAAATTTCTAAGATAAATAAAGGTCCCTTGGTTAAGATGGAGTTCAAATACGACAAGCCCCTTTACAGTAGTGGTTAATCCTGAAGATTTTTGCACCCAAGATACCAGAATCTTTACTGTTAAAGAACAAAATGTCAGTGAAATATTGAATTCTGTTCTTTTTTACAGTGCCTCCAAAGCCAATACATCTGCAGCATTCACCTTCGTCCAATATACACCAAACCCCCAGACATAAAGCTTTACCTAGAGCAAAACCCAGGATGGAGGAAGTTAAACCTGCCTCTGCTTCTTGTGTCTCAAAAGAAAAACCCAGTAAGGTATCAGATCTCATCAGTCGCTTTGAAGGAGGCAGGTAAGAGTTAACTTACAACGGGTATAGGCAGAGGGAGGAAGAAGCTAATTCTCGACAAGCTGCTAGTCATAGGTTTTCTGAATCAAAACCATCATACCATACTCTATTAGGTTCTGTAGGCCTTCAGCAAATACATCTGAAAATAACTTAGGGACTCTTGCCCTAGTATGACTTGTCACTTACGATATGTGACCAGTGTGCAGTACCCTAGGCTACCAACATGTTTGTGAAAGTGTGCTTTTTTATAGATGTGCAGTCTCTCAGAGTCCCTCTGTATCTGTCACCTTCTGTGGCCGTTATGCCTGTCACTGTCTGAGTTGGAAAGGCTGAGAGGTTGTCTGTCTCTTTGTATACTCCTTATGTTTGTAAATGTGCCTCCTGTGGGCTTGACTCATCTTGGGCCTTTACTTAATGTGAATGTTCTGTACCATTCAGTCCATCTCTCCCCACCCCCATACCTACCTTTGGTACATTTTACAAAATGATATAATTAAAAGCAAAATACTGTGCATGCTAAATTTCAGTTTTCTATTTATAGATAGAATTTTACTTTAGTCCTAGTGTATATGGGGAAGGCAACTGAAATATTATATGTATTTCTCACTTCAAGATAAAAACAAACCCATATAAACTGCTTTTTTATATATGAGACCCTCAATTGTGTATTCCCATAATCTATTACTAGAATTCCCATCACTGACTTAAATAGAATTTTATTTAAAAGTTTATCAGAATGATTTTTTTTTGTCGCCAGAAGTCTGTAATAGAACAGAACATATATAACTTCACTTTTATCCTTAAAACCAAGTATTTCCATTCACTCCAGTATAATATTTGGGAATGATTCCTCATTAGGCAGTCTTTTTTATTTGTAGAATTTATTATGATTAAATAAATTCATACCTTGGAGATACTTTTGGATTGTTCTGGAAATTGTGACCAAGCACAAAACTGCAGTTTCCATCCTTTAAAATAAGATTATGTTTAGTTACAAATTCTGGAGGAAAGTTTAAATTTAGAAACCTGACTTCATTTTCTCATTCCTGATTAATTTTGAGAACTTTCACCATCCATCTTTAAACTTCAGCATCTCCTGCTCCTCCATATAGGATTTCTAACATCTTTGCTCTCTGGAATGATAGCAATCTTTGTAAGAATAGTTTAATTCTCTTAAATTTTTTTTGCTCAAGGTAAGTTGATTCAACCATAATAATCATAGCCGAGATCTGATCTCTTCTGATTGAGATTCTAGCCGCCAGTCTCAGCACCTGTGTGATGGGAGGGTGTCACAGTGTGTGCCGGCACCCACGTCCTGGGGTGCCGCCCCACACGCATCGGTCTCCAGATGGTGAGGCCTGTATCCTTCACTATCTTGGAAGCCTACACTTTGCATTATTTTGGATGCTTCTCTACATGTGAAACAGACAGTTTTTCCATTTAATATCATCAGTTTTCTTCTACTCTTTCAAGCTGCACAGATTCATTGTTTGGCGCAGAGCTTGAAGGTTGGCACTCAGGAGTGATGTGCTGTAATTCATGACATTTTTAAGCAAGGCTGTTCGTGGGCAGACAGGGTGCAATGTATTTTGGGAAGTCTTCAAAGGGCCCTGATTTGGGGGTGGAGTCTACTGCTGACACAGTAGTGGCATGTCCTCGGTGGACAGCACAGAGTGGCCCCAAAGTGTTGGAGTGGCTTAATATTGCATCGGCTCTGTAGGGTTTTAATGGGAAATTTCTGTTTACTGTTGAGTGATGTCCATGTGTCTTCAGGGTAATTTTTGGACTGGATCCCAGTTATCACTGCCTAGAGCAGCGCCTTGTGGAGTTAAGGGCCAGCACTCGTCTTTGGGTCATCACAGGGCATGGACAGGAAGAGCCAGCATCTGTCAGAGTGGAGGCTGTCAGGATTGTCCTAGAGGGCTGCGGCCCGCTGCAGCTGAGGCTTCACCTGGGCTTTGACCCAAGTACTCCGTTTATTAAGGACAGCAATTTAAAGCAAACATTTATTTTTGACTGTAGTTTCTTCTTACTCTGTCCTTTTTCTCTTTTCTGCCAGAATTTATCTTATGATAGCACTGAGGTTCAGAATTAACTTTTCCCTGCAGATGTGAACATTGGCATTTCCCAAGGGCTTTGCAAAGCCAGCTGCTCCCTGCCCCACCGAGTTTCCAGTCCGCAAGGCAGCAGAAATCATCCAAGTACTGGTTCCGCTACTGCCACCCCACCGCCTCCCCGTATTCCCAGCCCCCATGCACATCCTCCTGTCACTTACAGATGGGACATTTCCAACTGCCGTCCAAAGCAGTCCTGAAAAGTCCTGAGCAGGCCTGACTGTGCTGCGGACCCTGGGAGATCGTTGTTAGGGCGTCAGACCCTGATGTGGGCAGGAAGAAGGGCTGTTTAATTCAGGTGCCCAAGGACTGCTGAGAGATGATCTCGGCCCAGGGTCTGAGCTCCTAGGGGCCAGTCCCCCGGTGTGGCGTGGCACATCTATTTATACTGAAAGCCTCCAGCTTCATCATGTGTAATATGTTCCCTACTGAATTTTCTGTCCCTTCCTGAGGTGCTGGACATTACCCTCATCTCTTTTCCTCCCTCCTCACATTCTTGTTGCCTGTTGTAATTCCTGCTTTCCAGTCTCCAGTCCAGAGCAGCAGTGGCTAGGGTGGGAAAGGCAGAGTGAAGAAAGAGGTCACGCACATCTGAGCACTGCTCCTCGCCCCCTGCTCACCCCATTATGTGCTGCCTCTCTGCCTGCTCCAGGGAGGACACTGGACTTCTTTCCCACCACGTGTCTGTAGCTATTCATTTGCTCCTCACCACATCCTAAATGATCCAATGTTATAAGGTAGGGTTAGACCGTGAGGACGTAGGCCACATGCCATCATTTTCTAAGCCTGAATTTCTCTGTTTGTGGGTCCCTGCTTTTAGACTGATGAAGAGGAAACATGATCCATTCAAAGGGTTTACTGTGGTTTGTGGCCCTGGATAACACCTAAGGAATTTTATATGCTATTGTGTCACTGTCGCGGACCTCATGATTGCTATTCTTGGACAGTCAGATATGTATCCAGCCCAGCTCAAACATGAGCACTGTGCTATGAAGTAGGAACAAGGCAGAGAACCAGGTGGCACCGTCTGCAGCTCACAGTTGTTGTGTCTGTTTTTATTTCTTCCCATTTAGGCCATAGGAATCTCTCAGCATACAGCCCGATGGTCCCCTCCTCACCCCGACATCCTGTGTGAAAATGCCACCAAATACTTCCATAGGAGAATTGCTATGTTAGGGGTGGTTCCATTGTCTCGTTAGTCCTGTTATGACTGTGTAGTGTGGAGGACGGTAAAGAAAAGTGACATGAGACGTAGAGCTGGTGATGGTATGCTGTCTCACATAGACTGATCCAGAAAGGCCGGAGTGATGAAAATGAACTTTCCTGGTAGAGAAGAGCCATTGCAGAGACCCTTGGCTGTGCACTTCTGCTTGTCAGGAGCAGGAGGAGCCAGGGGCACGGCTGGACACGTGATGGGATGCAGTGTGACAGGCGGGATGTTATTCTAGTACCTGAAGTCTAGTAGGTGTCACTCGGGCCTCAGTTTATCTGAGAGTGTGCAAGGAACCCTCTGAGTTTGTTCAGACTTGTAGACTAGGGTAGAAGGGATCAAGACTGGAAACAGAGACAGCTAGGAGGCTGCTGTAGCACTTACTAAAAGTAGGTAAGAATGTGTCCTCCTTCCAAATAAAATTAACTTGTACAGAACCAGTTTGTAAATTGGAAGCTGTTATACTTGTTCCTAAATGTGAAGGAAGTCAAAATCTTGGGGTAAGATAATTTTATTAAATAGAAATATTTCTCACATTGAAGTCTTCATTCAACAATCCAAGGAACTGTTTCAGCCCCTCTGGGTAAAGCTCGGGCTCCGCATCTTTATTATATCCTTATTTAAATGTGGTGAGCATCGCAAGAACCCATGTTTCTAACATCATCAGAATTAGAAAAAAATCCCCCTCAGCTGGCCTAAACTTGTCTTTATTGTAAATCTTTTCCCCACCCCAGTTTTCATGCATCCTTTGTATTTTATTTTTTAGTGCGTTGTCTAGTTACAATGATCTGAAGAAGGACTCTGCTGTGAACCCCAGCACTCCCCGCACCCCAGGCCGGCACGGATTGACACCCACGGCTCCACAGAAGCCTGTATCCCAGCACACAGTGCAGAGGCCGGGAGATGACACAGATCCAGCTCAGGCCGGACAGGCCCAGGTGGCCAACGGCATGATGGCAGCGCCACTGCAGCAGGCAGAGTGTGGGACGGGTGTGGTGGCCTCACCCAGCCAAGATCCTCCAGTTCAGGCCACCACGCCCTCACTGGAAGTGCATTTACTGAACGGAGAGCAAGAGGCAGCCACCACAGGCTCCATGTTGCCTGTCTCCGATGACCTCGATGGTGATGCTTTGGACAGTAGCTGCAGGACTCCAGGTGCAGGCCCAGAGCTCCCCCTGAAGGGAGAGGTGGCTGAGACTGAAGCCCGGCTCCAGGAGGGGGAGAATGGAGAGAGCCCGGGGGATCAGGAGCAGCACCCCGAGACCAAGGTAGAGCCCAAGGGGGGAAGCCGCCCGGCAGGGCACTGTTTAAACCGCCTATGGCACCCATAGAAAAGAGGAGTCAGATCACCCACACCAGCACCTGGACTGTCCTCAAGCTCTGGGTGCCCATGGGTGTAGATGTGATATTTTACTTTTCTTTTCGTGTAGTTTCTGTTTATCTCACTCTTGTGATTTCAAGAGTGAGAGTGGTGTGGAGACTTCAATACAGGAAAACCACAGATGCGCTGTCTTTATTTAGGTTTTTTGAGGCAGGGTCTTGCTAACTCGTGGCCTGCCTGGGCCTCCCGAGTGCTTGGGTTACAGGTGTGCACCACCACGCCCAGCACATTGTGTTTTCACCATATGGGAGGAAAGTATTGTTAGTCTAGATGTTGGTGCTACAGCTTTAATATTTATAGGCTGAATAAGACAAAATTGTGTAATCTTTGTTTCTGCAGAGTTTCTAATCTAGTAAAAATAGTAGACCTGGAAGTTGAACTTACCACTGGCAGATGATGCTTTTAAAGACACAGAATTAACAAATTATTCAACAGATTATATTTATAATGCTTTCCAAGCTTCTTGATTTTTTTTAAAAGCTTTCCATTACCCAATTTTATAATAAATGGCTTCATTATGAAATTGAGGCCATTTAAATATCATCTTCATTAAGCAATTCTTTTATAGAAGAAATAGTCCCAGAAAGCTGAAGTGGTTTTCTGAGATTACACTGCTGTATGTAATTAATAAACACAGACCCTTTGGGCCATGAGTTCAGGCAGGTGTTGGTGTCCCTGGTGCAACACATAAAAAAACCTAAAAGGTGGGCCGGGGATTTAGCTCAGTGGTTCCGCCACCTGCCTTGCAAGTGCAAGGACCTGAGTTCGATCCCCAGTACCAAAAAAAATTTAAAAAATAAAAAAAATACCTAAAAGGCAAAATGTAGGAAATATCAGAAGTGCCACAGCCATGAGTAACATTCGAGAGAGCAGTGGGACTGGGGTGAACTTAAAGTTCATATCCTTCTGAAGAGGGAGGTACTGTAGTTTGGTTTTGGTTTTTTTGAGACAGGGACTCGCTATGTAGCTCAGGCTGTCCTCGATCACTCATGGTGATCCTCCTGCCTCAGGCTCCCAAGTGCTGGGATCACAGGCATGCTAACAAAGAGCTGGTTTGCTGGTGCAGTATATTCATAATTTCCCTGTAATCAAGTAAATTAAAGTGTTTCATTTTCTTAATGTTATGATAATAAATTTTATTAGGTATATTGGAAAAGTTAGTGGGATATCATGGACCAAGCCATTAGAACCAGGATGCTACTCCTGGCAGTAACAAGGGCACTGCCAGTTTGCTTTTTATTCATGTTAGTGTATTAGGAATATTAATAACTATGACTTTCATCATGGGAATCTTGTGTATCACAAGTACAATAGCAGTATACTAAATTTCCCTCGAACTAGAAGATTGTTTACATCTCTGAAGGCAGTTTCCATTGCTTAGTCTCTTACTGATCATACTGAATAATTACGTGTGAGTTGAAAATTTGATAATTATAGGAAAATTTGTAAATGGCAAATCCCAGTCTTAAATCTATTTAGGAGTTTTTAATATTGCTGTGCTTTATTGGACATTAACATTGGCAGAATATCAAAAGGACTGATTCTAAAATATTAAGAGTAAAAGGTGATTCATGATTGTATTTAGAACTTTGAAGTAAAATCAACCTTAGGATATAATTTTCACTGACCCTAAAAGAAATCAAAGATACACAGAGCGCGCGCCGGTGGCTTATTTCTTCCAGCTAGTGAGCTAATTTTAAATACTGACTCTTGAGCAGGGAAAGTTTAAATAAGGAAGTGGGTGAAGAAAGTGACTCATTATCTTGGTAACATTATCTGAAACGGTCAAGAAACAGAACATTGCAAAGACTCTGTACATCTTGATGTGGTGGTAGATTTTAAGGTCTTTGTGCTTCAAGGAAGGTGTAAGGAAGAGAACCTAGAATTTGCAATGGGGATGAAGCGTACCACGAGTGTTTATGAAACAGCACGAGCCATTGTTATTAAGGGAAATGTGTTAACTGGTAATGATGATTGTGTTTGCTGGGTGGTATTTTTCCTATTTTACGTTAAATATTATTCTAGAGGCATGTTCAGAGAAGAGGCTTACTTGGTTTGGGAGAGATTTAGTAGGATTTTATTATTAAACTAGTGAAATGGTCATATAGCTGGCTTTTCTCCTAATTGGGCTTTTCAGCAGTAATGGCACAGGCTTTATGTGGGAAGGAAAAGGAAATTTTCTCTGCAGAGTTGTGATCCAAACAACTCATCCCTCCCATCTGAAAACAGGACTTAGTATCTATGGGAAGAGGATGTTTTCTTTCTGTTGCCCTGAGAGCTCCTACATTACCTTTCCTGGTTCCAAAATGCATACTTATTCATTGTGGTGAGAGGAAAATTTTTGTTAGATATATTTTACTGTAATTAAAAGAAGAAAAGAAAAAATTTTTAAATTTTAGCATATTATAGACCAAACAATTGGGACCGGAAAATCTCAGTGCTGCCTCTGCTTTATGCCCTCGTTAGCATTCAGGACAGTTCTTCGTGTGTTCAGGGTGTGTACATTGAATATGATCTCAGTCCTGTTGCTGATGATCCAGTAACTCTACGCTGTGATATGTGGGTATGGTACCTCCTGGCATACCTGTTTCTTAAACCAACACGTTGAACTTTTAAGACATAATGGAATATTTTGAATTTCACTGCATAGACAACTGAAAAAATTACTTCTTTTTTTATGTAATTGGGTATAGAGATTTTATTGAAACCAATATTAAACATAATGAACATTTTCCCAGTGGCCACCAAGAGTAGTGAGAAAACAAGGGGATGGAGAACAGAAGGAGAATTGCAAATGCAGTTCAAGCACAGATGCGTATTGTAACATATCACAAGCAATCGTTAATTGAGGACTGCTTTACAAAGAGTTCAGCTTGTGAACCTGTATCGTTGATTCTTCTGAGATATTTTGATTAAGATCACTTTCATTGGCAAGCATAAAAGATAAAGAATTCCTACTTGAATTTCTGCATTCTACCATACTCTAGCAAAGTTATTCTTTCCCAGTGATTATATTTTGTTTGTCTGTTTGGTCAGCACTAGGGATTGACCCCCGTCATTGCTAGCCCTATTTTATTTTATTATTTTACAACAGAGAACTGCTAAATTGCCTGGGCTGAGATTGAACTTGTGACCTTACTGCCTCAGCCTCCCAAGTAGCTGGTATTACAGGCTGATTAAACTTTTTGTAGCACCAGTGATCTAGATATAACCAATCTAAAGTAAGCATGGTTTTTTTTTTGGTACCCAGAATCCAACTCAGGACTTTGTGCTTGCTCGGCAGGTGCGGCACCACTGAGCTACATCCCTCGTCCATCATGTACTTTTTTTAAACCTCAAAACTAAAAGAAAATTGTGAGTACTTTGTGATACTGTTAGCTGTCACCCACTAGGCCTGGTATCTTTAAGTTTAATCATGTATTATACCAGATGAAATCTTCTGAAGGGGAGAAATTGTTAAAAGGAAACACATTGAAGCTCCTAAATTATAGGAAGAAAAAGACAAAGAATATTGTAGGGCACATACATCACCTGTACCCGCGCAGGCACGAGCCCCCAGGGACACAACAAGCCCGGGCCACAGGGGTAGAATTCCTGTCAGGCATGATGAATTTGGGGTATCATAAATAGCTACAACTTTAGTAAGTGTAGTCTTATGAGATGCAGATAGATTTTCAATATGTTTTAGAATGAATTTTATTAAAAATGATTATTCTTTCTCTGATTTATATACTAAGATGAGTAAGCTTTTGTTGTCTAAAAGTCCAGTGAGGGGAAAGCGGCACTTATTGATGGTGCCATACCCGTGTATGAAGACTGAGACTTATGTGGCATGAACCTTTGAATATACAGGATGCATTATAACAAGTTGGACTGGTAGATTATTTTCTCCAGTTTATTCAGCACTTCCTTCCCCCGTATAGATTTATACCATTGTAATATATATACATCAAGATAGATGTATATATATTTTATACTTATATTTATATTTGGCTTTATACAGCAATCAAATATGTTTTATATTATATTTTTATTTATATAAATATATATTTTATATTTATATTTGGCTTTATACAGCAATCAATATAAATGTGTGGAGTTGTCCTTTTAAGACTGAAGTTTATATAAACATCAAATCTTTGTTACTGACAACATAAGTTCAAGTTACTAATATATAGAAACCCTAATCATAAGTTACAAGGAATATAACAAAGGCAGATTTTAAAAATAAGTTAATCCTTTCTTGACCAAAAATGACAGAAATTCTATAATAAAATGATTAATACACGAAGAAGGAAGTATACACAAAGTTGAGACTTATAGAAACATTATTTTTAAAAACTGAGTTCATTTTCTGGTTATTTCTGATTTTTAATTAGTTTTACTTACTATATTCATATATACCAGCTGTTAAACATATGGAAGAAGGGAAATAATCATCGTTCATAAGGAAGAGAGTGGCCAAGTCCAATCCAGCAGTAAGCTGGGAGTTTAGAGCTATTGATGGATTTGGAAACTCTATGAAGCAGTTCACTGAGAATGCTGGGGAGAGTGGGAGGTGCTGGGGGTCGGGAAGAAGCAGGGTGGGGAGTGGGTGTGAGAGCTGGTGACAAAAGAGGGAGTGAGTGCCCCACTTGAGAGAATATTTCTGACCTCGTAACAACACCAGAAAGACTAGAGACGCAAGTGTGGGGTAAGCAAAGGGCAATTACAGTGGGCTTCTATACCTTGTAAGAAGTGCTGTTTTTTCCTCTAAAAACAATATTTTTGAAAGATCTTTTTATAAAACCTACGAAGTCACTAATCACTGAAAAACAAGAAAATGTGGTAAAGCGTAGAAAATGTAAAAACCATCCATAATCTATCCCCCAGAAAGAGTTGCTTAGA